TGTCACGAACGAAGTTTCGATTTTCTCACTCGCGCACCAACCTTTCCACACTCTCTCGACCCGGGCTGTGTATCCGTGTGTCCCGGACTATGTACGAAGTGTCGTGCTGCTATGTATGCAAACAGCATTACTGTTTACTGCGGAAAAACGTTCAACACCCCTTTCTCGACTGTGGTTATCCTTGAATGGGAGTCCTTGTTTGAATATATTGTGTAGCTATTTCTAAACTGACGAGCTGCCAAGCTCAGCCATGCCAAACCTCTTACGCGCCTGGGCCAATGACAAATTGGCGACGCGAAGCTCTCTCGCTCTAGGGTGGGGCACATCCCGACCACAACAACATCGTTTTTGGTTGAATGTGTTAAACTAGCATCGCGAGCCAGAGCCAAAGGCCTGCTGGACCGCGCATGAAATCACACCATTCCGTCCTGTGCAGTCATACGACTACGCCAGTCTGAAAGCTGAACGATTCGCTGAATGTCGGAGAGGAATGCTGGCCCAACCTGCTATTGGAGGCCGGAGTGCGTTGCGAGCCATGCATACATACTATTATAGCACATAGGTACCGGTCGCCCCGGTGGTCTAGTGGGTAGCCTCGCAGCCTCTTAAGGGCCAGGTCATGGGTTCGAGTCCCGAAAGAGTTGAGTTTTTTCTCGCAAAATAAATCCTGGTCTCCGTTGGAAGCGACGCGCTGCAAAGCTCTTGTTAGTAAACCTGATCGACATCATGAGTCGCAATGGGAGGGAATGCTGTACCCTTCTCGCGATAAAAATATCTCAGGCAGGAACCGCAGGAGGGGGGCCACCCCCACCCCCCTCCTATGTGGCCCCGGTTGGGTCGTCTAGCTGGTAGAAGTGGAGGATAGGGGCCAGAGGACTAGACGACAGAGTCCAATGATGGGAGACTACAAAAAAAAAATAGTGCTCACAACTAAGCATTTCGCCCCGGTGGTCTAGTGGGTACCCTCGCAGCCTACTGAGGGCCAAATCTCGGGTTCGAGTCCCGGCGTAGTGAGTTTTTGGTCTCCCTTGGAAGCGACGCGCTGCAAAGCTCGTTGTTAGTGCAGTCGACCCCGCTTTAAGGTCGCACATGGTTTTTCCTGAAAAAAAGCGTCCTTCAAGCGGGGTTGCGTCCTCAAAATTCAGGGGACGATAGCTCACCATCCCCGGGGACAACGGAGGCATGCTATACCTCAAACAACGCGTCTTTTGCTAAGGAAGGGCGTGGTACGAAAAGTCAGCATCGCCGAGACGACTAGCAATCGGTTGTTGACGTCGAACATATTTACAATACTTGAAATGAGATGTACAGCAGTCGGGGACGTGTTGAAAACAACTACAGTACACCAGTTTGTACTTGGCCAACAAATATACTGCATAGCCGGCAGCGGAAGAAGGAGGAAAGTCCAAGTAGAAATACATTTAACTCATTCTTGTGAAACAAAAAAAAACACGAGCGTATTTCAGCGTCGTGCCGAGGAACACCAGTACATATCACTGTCCCGGCGGACACCACAAGCTACCCTGATGGCTTTTCCTTCCACATATCGCGAAGAGTTCCCTGAACCCCCCCCCGCGGCTTGGCTCTACGGCTCTGTTGAGTTTCATGAGTAAACTAATGAGCGGTCTTCGAAAGAAGGTACTGTGTCTCACGGTAATCGCCACCCCTTCCCTTCGCGTACAAACACAGATGGCGCCCGCAGTCAAGATAAATTCTGTAAGAAAGAAGGCTCAACTTTGTACGAAAAATAAGCAAAAAGGNAACCATATGCTCTCCGCTGTTGTACGGGTTTGATGGCACTCTCCACCACCTCTCTTGAGGGCTTGATGATGTGGATTGTCCTCAGAGATCAAAAGACAGAAAAAAAAGAAAATACGAAGTACTTGTTGTAGACTAAGAAAATGCCATTTACGAAATGGACGACTTGGGCCGGTACTTCGACCCAAAACAAGGGATTGGTGAGGCTCGAAGGGATTGGTGAGGCTCGAACCGATTTCGACGTTTCTTAACTGCCGGCGCTATCAGTAGGATCGAACGTCCTCCAAGCGAGAGGTAAGCTCGCCCTCGGTGAGGGACGAGGTTATGCACGACTCTTTTTTTGGCGGCATCAGATGGACCGCCGGTAGATGGGAGGAATCTATCCATACCAACACCCAGTTGCAGCTGCAGCAGCAGACCGCTCGCTACTTCTGCTGTCTGTGCGTCGCTACTTGTGCACTCACTGTGGTGCGTGGTTCGTGAAACGAGCGGCCCGAGGGCCCGCAGGACACAAAAACGGGGGTACCCGCATTATCATATATTCTGCCGGGCCCCCGGTGCTCAGCAAACAACTTTCCTTTGAGCGGAGAGTTTCCTTAACGCGAGCGTCCTTAAAGCGGGGTCGACTGTACAGTTGATCGACTTCATAAGTCGCGAGGGAAGGGATTGCTGTACCCTTCTCGCGATAAAAATATCTCAGGCAGGAACCGCAGGAGGGGGTCCAACCCCCCCCTCCTATGTGACCCCACTTGGGTCGTCTAGCTTGTAGAAGTGGAGGATGGGGGCCAAAGGGGGAGTTGACAGACTCTAACGATGGAAAAGAAAAAAAACACATGTATATATGTTGCACGGGCGCCGCCGCAAGCGTTCATATCACACAACATACCACCCCCCCCCCTGCGCCCTTCGCATTTTGCCCTCCGCATTTTGTCTCTCTCGGCAGATTTCCGATCAACTTATACACAGCATGCTCGAATTCCCTTGCAGGCCGATGGCAGGCAGAGGCTCATAGCGTCAATTGCCTTGTTTGGTTCTTCGGACGTACAATGGACGGGCTGCTTACATAACGACGTGATGGGTCGAGTGGGTGGGGGTGAGTGTTATCTAACGTATGTTGCACATGTTGTGCACCTTGACTCAGTGATGGTCTTCTGCCCGGAGAACAGGTTCGCCACCCCAGCCATGTTCTCCGCCAGCGTGTCGAACATCATGCCCAGCGGAGAAGAAGCACCACCGGCACAGCCACCCCTCCTCCCCCTCCTGCTGTTGCTTCGGCTCACAGGAAGGCTGCTGCGAGCTGCTGCTCCGATCGCCGCTGCCCTACACGATGGTGACCGGTCATTGATGACGCCGCAGCGAGAGAGGCCGCCAGCGGGGACAAAGGCTACCGAGCTCTGAGTGAACAGTGCGCAGACGCAGCAGAAAAAGGAGAGAGCCGCATCTGCTCTGCCTCTCCGCGGTGATCTGTGGTTGAGCGATGCCATCATCATCGTCGTCAGTGCAGACGATGATGAGTCGGCGCTGCAATCATGTCGGCGTTAGACCTGCATGGGGGGACCAACACATTCATTGACTTGGCATCCTACGTATGTTTTTGTAAAATGTATGCCGCGGAGCCCCTAAATCTTGCGTCATCGGGCGTTATCCATCGCCAAGCACAATACTGCTGTTGAAAAACAACAGCGGCAGCAGCAGCAGCACCAACACCATGGCATCGGATTCCTCCCCCTCCGCCTCCTCCTCTTCAACCACCTCGTACTGCAGCACACGAGGGGGTGCGAAGGGCGTGAGCTTCGAGGATGTCGTGCTGGGAGGGCTGGCGGAGGACAGGGGGCTGTATGTGCCGGAGGTGCTGCCGAGTGTATCCGCTCAAGAGCTTGCGGAGGTGAGGAGGGTGTGGAGAGAGAGAGGGAGAGAGTCAGAAGTCTCGGGGGAATAGCGGCAGGCCTCGTTGGCCCGAACTCTTTTCGGGAGAGGTAAGGTCCGGCGTGGCGGGAAGGGAGGTGTGTCTCGAGCATCGACATCTCCGCTGCATGACAAGTACCAAGTTGCAAGAGCGTGCCGACGATGTATGGTGACATATGCCCGTCGCGCCATTGTTGCATGCAAACATGCAAACATCATCCTCATGATATTTTACCCCAACAGCAGCAGCCCGTTTTCCGTTTTTCGTACGGGCGGAAACGTCGAGTTGTGCTCCGTATGCATACGAGCCGTGGCTGTCGTGTGCTGAAGCAGTCGTGGTGTCACTCGCCGTACTTCAGGGGTAAAAAGGGTGGGACTGCTGCTGCTGTGAGAATCTTACATCCAGGAACCAGCATAGAAAACGCGTACGTTGCAAGGAACAACAGCCACGTCGTTCCCAACGTCGATCATGCCATCGAGGCACCTGGAGACGATCCCCCCTTCCTACCGTCAGAGCCAGGGTTCCGGGCTGAGAGCACCCCGGTGCGTTCTTGTTTGGAAGTACTCATTGCAGCCTCCCAACTCGCCAGAAGAAAGCAACCGTCCTGCTGCAGACCAGTTGAAGTTCATTCTCCTTTAAGAGCTGTAGACGCACAGCAGCAGCTGCAGCAACAGTGATCGTGCTGGCTTGTTCTCCGTGTGTGCGGATCACGGCATGTCCCGGAGCCCCCCCCGTGATTTTCCAAGCATGTGGTCCTCAGCAGAGACGAGCTTGATCCGTTGCATTTTCAAAATTTAAATTACAGGTACATGTCGACAGATTGGTCGTCCCGGTGGTCAAGTGGTGTCCTCGTAATCCCCTAGTCACAGAGGTCGTGAGGTCGAATCCTCATGGGGTAAAAAATTTACGAAACTTGCGGTTGAAAGCGAAATATAGCTGAACAGCTCTCGTGAGTATCAAACTTCGACGTTAGCACCGTTGACGAGGGAAAGGGACGACTGGACCCTTCTCGCGATAAAAATAAAAGAGGAGTGGCCAAAATCGGGTACACCCGGCGCCAATCCGGCCATTATCGGGTACACTTGTTTCTCACAGTCGGCAGCGCCCTCCTGGCGCCATCTGATTGGCCGACGCCCGCCCCTACCCGGCCCTGACCCTATTCCCACCGGGTGCACCCGATCTTGGCTACTCACCCCCCGGCGGGGTACCCGATCTTACTCTCGCCTACCCGAAAATGGCTGGGCTATTCGACCAACAGACCACCAGCAGACCACGCTCATGAACACCAGTCACCAACACCCCGCACTCGAATTCCGACGCTTCCGACGGCGGGCGGAGGCGGAACTAGCGCGGCTAACGCGGCGGAACTCTCGTTTGAAGTGGATCAGTAGATCTCTCTCCTGCGAGACTCCTCCTGCAACCCACCGCCGACGGCGGAACTCTTTCGGTCCTCGTTTCGTATCGGAGAGGGAGGAGAGAGAGGGCCAGGCGGGCGGCGGTGGATGAATACCTCTCAATACCTCACGTGATCACTTGAGCTGCACACAAATACATGACGCAGCTCAGGTATGTCCATGGAAGCATCAGGCTCAGAAGCATCAGGGTGTCGCTTTCATCTGGAATACATGTACATGTATAGACACATCAAGACCGGAGATGTATGGCACGGTGTTGTGTACGCAGAGGGTCGTTCGTCCACAGCAACGCAGCAGCAGCAAGCAGTGGATGCCGTGGTTATGTCTCGATCAAGACCGGAGATATATGACACATTGTTGTGTAGGAAGAGGATCGTACAGTAATGCAGCAGCAGCAAGCAGTGGATGCCGTGGGACCTCAGATTNACAGCGATAATACTTCCTTGACTTCGACCTCTCGTGAGTACGTGGGAGAGACAAGGAACTGCGGGCTTGCCACAGGAGATAGATGGGGAAAGATAGAGAGAGTGGTGGTACACGCAGAATAAACGCTGTCCTAAGATGGCTGGTGGTGGAGTAGCACGCGCCTTGCGCGAGGACCGCGGTGTCCTCTACTTCATCGCTCATATTCTGCCGATGCCAGTAGACCGTTCAGGTACGAGTACCGAGATTAACCGCGAGAGACTTGGTGGGTTGAGGAGCGAGATCTACTTGCAGAAGCGAGATCTACTTCAAACGAGAATTCCGCCGCGTTGCAGGAGAGAGATCCACTGATCCACTTCAAATGAGAGTTCCGCCGCGTTAGCCGCGTTAGGTCCGCCTCCGCCCGCCGTCGGAAGCGTCGGAACTCGAGTGCGGGGTGTTGGTGACCGGTGTTCGTGAGCGTGGTCTGCTGGTAGTCTGTTGGTCGAATAGCCCAGCCATTTCCGGGTAGGCGAGAGTAAGATCGGGTATCCCTCCGGGGGTATCCCTCCGGGGGGTGAGTAGCCAAGATCGGGTGCACCCGGTGGGAAAAGGGTCAGGGCCGGGTAGGGGCGGGCGTCGGCCAATCAGATGGCGCCAGGAGGGCGCTGCCGACTGTGAGAAACAAGTGTACCCGATAATGGCTGGACTGGGGCCGGGTGTACCCGATTTTGGCCACTCCTCAAAATAAAATTCAGCAGCACCGCAGGAGGAAGGTGGGGCATGAAAAGAAATAGAAAGAAGAAAAAAGCCCTGGTGTTTACCCCCTCCTGTTTGACCCTGGATGGTTGTAGCTGTACGAAAAAGTACACTGAAAAGTGTAGTACTCTACATACGCTGAAAAATGTAGTACGCTTCTCACCACAAAAAATGGGGGGGACCGTCGCCATAATAAATAGGACGAAAACACACACACATGCCTAGCTACAACTGTGCATGATACAATGCCAACACATCCCGTTCGACTGTGGGTAATCTCGAATGGGTATTTAGTCTTTCTGCGTGTATATTTATTTTCCTTAAGAAAGCAGTGGTAGACTTCAGCAATATATTTAGGTTGGAAGAGGATGCACTAAACTGTATACCGAACAGTAGTAGGTGCCGTCAAGGGGCTGAGGGCCTGCTGTAATGACGTTTAAAATTTGAACCTAAATTGAGACCCTGCAAAAAGTAAGTTACGGGGGGTGCCGGGGGCCGAAGACGCTGATTGGTCAACAATAAGAAACACGACGAGGCGTTCTCTGCCCGGCAAGGCGGGACTTCAATATGTACTCCCCAAACCTGAAAACCTGAAAATCCCTTAACCTGAACAACAATTAATTAAAGAACATTGTCGTTTGTTATTGTTTTCTTCACATTAAACTCGTGTCAGTTGCTAATCCCAAAATCTAGCAAAGACTCGGTCCGTGGTCAAAAATATGCTAGAGCCATCAGAAGATCTAAAGAACACGCACACTATCAGCAAGAAAAGGGTACACAAGCCCGAGGAGGTACACCTACAATCCCTGCAGCACGTTTGCGTGCTCACAACTGAACTATTATACACGCCCACACACTACAATTCGACTACAGCAGCAGCATCACCCCCCTTGTCCCGCACCTAACCAAAGNGTGTCAGTTGCTAATCCCAAAATCTAGCAAAGACTCGGTCCGTGGTCAAAAATATGCTAGAGCCATCAGAAGATCTAAAGAACACGCACACTATCAGCAAGAAAAGGGTACACAAGCCCGAGGAGGTACACCTACAATCCCTGCAGCACGTTTGCGTGCTCACAACTGAACTATTATACACGCCCACACACTACAATTCGACTACAGCAGCAGCATCACCCCCCTTGTCCCGCACCTAACCAAAGTGAATGTTTGTCGACTACAGCGTACTGCTGTCTGAAGTGCTGTCTGTACAATGACAACACCATGGTAGGCATGGTACAAGTTCAGGACACGCAGCTGCTGTCTGAAGTGCTGTCAGAATGAGTCCGTGGACATACAATGAAGAACAACCAAGCAAGCCATCATTGTAATTGACAATCACCCGAATCTATCCAGATCATCTGTGTTAGACAGCAGTGTAAACATCGACACTGACTAGGAATCGTTCCACATTGAAGGTGTCTTCCATGATGCAGGTACACAATTAAGTCACCCGGGTTTTCCGCGCCATCTCTGCCGCGTCTCTCCAAAACCAGTGACGTCATCACACACACCTAACACCTATATTCAGGAAGAAAACGGAAAATNCTGAAGTGCTGTCAGAATGAGTCCGTGGACATACAATGAAGAACAACCAAGCAAGCCATCATTGTAATTGACAATCACCCGAATCTATCCAGATCATCTGTGTTAGACAGCAGTGTAAACATCGACACTGACTAGGAATCGTTCCACATTGAAGGTGTCTTCCATGATGCAGGTACACAATTAAGTCACCCGGGTTTTCCGCGCCATCTCTGCCGCGTCTCTCCAAAACCAGTGACGTCATCACACACACCTAACACCTATATTCAGGAAGAAAACGGAAAATAATTGACAACACAAGAAATGTTTGTCCGTGCGCCACGGTTCGATGCCGTCCGTATGCTCCGGTTCCGTTGCTCCGGTGCCGCTTCTCCGGTGCCGCTTCTCCGGTGCCGCTTCTCCGGTGCCGCTGTGGCCAGTCCTAGCACGGCCAAACTCGATCCGCTCCGCTTCGTACACGCTCTCGTTGCTGTCCTCTCCAGTCTGTTCCTCGTTTTCCCCCTCGTTGCACTTAGGGTTCTTGGTTTGAAAGTTCGCGCGCCGAAGGGTCAACCAGTTCAATCAGCTCGTCACCACCTGTCCCTTCCTCCTTTGATGGCAAAACCAGGTTACTGAGACAGTACAGCTCCCTCTAGCAAACCTAGGGCGGTGTACATAGTGCCCGCCCACCTTTCTGATGACTTCTGCCTCCGCGCACAAAGACAAAGGTAAGTTCGGCATTGCTGCCTACACCGACGGCCTGGAGGCCCGCGCATCTGCACCTTTGTACCTGACGCACCAGTGCCGACCGAAGTCCACTACTACGCACGCCTCGCGGCGGGTCCGCCGCAGCAAGAAGGTATCGGTC